ACATTCTGGAAGAGACAGAACACAGATCCGAGGCTGCCAGGGCTGGGGTGACGGGAGATAGGACCAACTGCTTACTGGGCATGGCGTTTCCTTTTGGGGTGATGACAATGTTTTGGAACTAGAGAGATGGTGGTTGCACAACACTGTGAATGTACTAAATGCCACTGAATTGTTTACTTTAAAATGGTCAATTTCATGTTACATGAATTTCACCTCAATTTTTTAAAAGGGGGTGTGCCACAAGGTTTTTGACACATGGACGTATAACATCTACTGCCTCTGGAATGAATCTGGTTCATCCATTTGGACACTCGTTCAACAAATGTCCACCAAGTGCCACTCTGATGGTTAATTTTAGGTGTCAACCCGACTGGATTAAGGAACACCCAGAGAACTGGTAACGTACCACTTCTGGGCGTGTCCGCAGAGATGTTCCCAGAGGAGATGGCATTCGAGTTAGTGGATGGAGCGGGACCATCTGCCTCAGTGTGGGCGGGCACCACCCGACTGGCTGGGGGGCCCCGGGAGAACAAAAAAGGCAGAGAATAGGGTGATTTCCCCTCTCTCTCCTCCTGCCTTTGCACATCAGAACTCCAGGCCTTCCGGGGCCTCATGCCTTTGGCTGAAAATTATACCACTGGCACCCCCAGTCTGGGGCTTTCGGACATGGAATGAGCCACGCTACTGCCATGCCAGGGTCTCCAGCTTGCAGATGGCCTGGTGTGAGACTTCTCAGCCTCCACGGTCACGTGAGCCGAATCCCCTATATACGGACTCACACACACGCACTTCTTACTGGTTCTGTCTCTCTGGAGACCTCTAATAAAACCACCAATGCGTCAAGGAAGAAATCACTAGGAAAGTTAGAAAATACTCTGAGATCATGAAAAAAAAAAAACCCAACATACCCAAACGTATGGACTATGAAAAAGCAAGCCATGCTCAGAGGGAAGTTCAGAGGCGTAAATCCCTACAACATGAAAAAGTAAAAATAATGTCAAATCAATAACTCTACACCTTAAAGAATTAGAAAAAGAACAAACAAAACCCAAAGCCAGCCAACGAAAACACAAGAATAGAGATAAATGAAACAGAGAATAAAAGACAATAGAGCCGGTGGCTCACGCCTGTAATCCTAGCTCTCTGGGAGGCCAAGGGGGCGGATTGCTCGAGGTCAGGAGTTCAAAAACCAGCCTGAGCAAGAGCGAGACCCCGTCTCTACTATAAATAGAAAGAAATTAATTGGCCAACTGATATATATATATATAAAAAAAACTAGCCAAGCATGGTGGCACATGCCTGTAGTCCCAGCTACTTGGGAGGCTGAGGCAGGAGGATCGCTTGAGCCCAGGAGTTTGAGGTTGCTGTGAGCTAGGCTGACGCCACGGCACTCACTCTAGCCTGGACAACAAAGTGAGACTCTGTCTCAAAAAAAAAAAGACAATAGAGTGATTCAATAAAATCCAAGTTTGTTCTTTGAACAGACCAACTAAACTAACAAACCTTGAGCTACATTAGGAGAGAGAACATACAAATAACCAAAACCAGAAATAAAAGTGTAAAGTATCAACTTTACATGAATTAAAGGAATTATAAGAAAATACTATGAATAATAACACACCAACTAGATAATCTAGGTAAAATGGACATAGCCCTAGAAACAAATTACTAAAACTGACTCAAGAAGAGGTAGAAAATCTCAACAGATCTGTAACAAGAGACTGATTAATAATCAAAAACTTCCCACAGAGAAGTTCAGAAAGAGCTGGCTTCCCTGATGGACTCTACCAACATTCAGCATTCAAAGAAGAATGGACTCCAATCCTACTCAAATTCTCCTAAAATTCAGAAGAGGAGGGAATACTTCCTAACACAGTCTATGAGGTCGGCATTACCCTGGTACCACAAGCCAGACAAAGAAACCACAAGAAAACTACAGACCGATATTCTTTATGAATGCAGATACAAACATCCTCAACAAAATACCAACACTCCCAATCCAACAGCACGTTAAAAAGATTATACACAATAACCAAAAGGAACTTATCCCAGGAATGCAAGGGTGGCTCCACATAAAATCAATCAATACAACACATCACATTAATAAAAAGAAGGAAAAAACCTACACGATTTTTCTCAAGGGAGGCAGATAAAAACCTCAAAAATTCAACACCTGTTCATGATTTTAAAAAAACACAAACTCAGCAAATCAGGAATAAAAGGTATGGCATAATAAATATGTATTTGGTCTCCCCTGGCCCTAGCACAGAGCTTCTTAAAACCCTTATAACTTTCTGAGGGACAGGGGTGATAGGAGTATATTTTGTTTTAATATCTGGTCTTAGTCCTAGGTTCCTGACACAGAGCTTCTAAGACCCTTGAGATCTCTGAAGTGATTAGAGAGCATCCTTTTGTAAGGCTGGTGGCCAAAAGCCCGATAGCTTCAGGATGGGGGCTGGTTGCCAGAGGAACCAACCACGTGACCAGAGGGTTGGAATTTTCAGCCCTACCCCCGGCCTCCTGGGCCCAATCACCCATGGCCAGTGATGTCATCAATCATGCCCACATAATGGGGCTCCACGAAAACCTCAAACAAAAGGGTTCAGAGAGCTCCCTCCCATGTCAGTGAGTACAGCGAGGTGCTGGGACAGTGGTGCGTCCAGAGGGCGTAGAAGGGAAGCTCTGTGCCCCTTCCCTGGTACCCTGCTCTGTGCATTGCTTCCACGTGGCCATTACTGATTATATCCTTCACAATAAACCAGTAACGGAAGTCAAATGTCTCCTTGAGCTCTGTGAACCATTACAGAAAATTAACAAACATATGGACGGGGAACCCCCGATTTATGGCCAGTTAGGCACAGGTGGACTTGCAACTGGCATCTGAAGTGGGGGCCGTCTTGTGAGAATGAGCCCTTAACTCAGAACTTAGATTCTGCGCTAACTCCAGGTAGTTAGTACCACAATCGAATTAAATTGTAGGACGCCCAGGTGGTGTCCAGAGAACTGGAGAATTGCAATACAAGGAAAATCCACACATTTGGTGTCGGAAATATTTTGAGTGGAGAAAACAGAGTTGGTCTTCCCTCCCTCCTTTTAGAAGGGGAATTCTTTAACCTGATAAAGGGCATTTATGAAAAACCCACCACTGACATCACACTAATGGTAAATGACTGAAAGCTTTTCCCCCTGAAGATGGGAAACAACACAGGATGCCCAATGTCATCACCATTATCCAACATCACACCGGAAGTCCTAACCAAAGCAATGAAGCAGCAAGAACAAACAAAAGACATCCATATTGGAAAGTAAGAAATAAAACTATAAAACCACAATGTAAATGATGGTGTAAAAAAAAAAAGAAAAAGAAAGTTAAAAAAAGAAATAAATAAAAAAGAAATAAAACTAACTCTACTTGCAGAGGACACAATTATACATACAGAAAATCCCAAAGAAGCCACAAAAAAAAAAACTACTAAAGCTAATAAACAAGTTCAGTAAAAATGCAAGGTAGAAGATCAACACACAAAAGTCAGTTGGCGGCCGGGCGCGGTGGCTCACGCCTGTAATCCTAGCACTCTGGGAGGCCGAGGCGGGCGGATTGCTCAAGGTCAGGAGTTCAAAACCAGCCTGAGCGAGACCCCGTCTCTACCATAAAAATAGAAAGAAATTAATTGGCCAACTAATATATATAGAAAAAATTAGCCGGGCATGGTGGCGCATGCCTGTAGTCCCAGCTACCCGGGAGGCTGAGGCAGCAGGATTGCTTGAGCCCAGGAGTTTGAGGTTGCTGTGAGCTAGGCTGCCGCCACGGCACTCACTCTAGCCTGGGCAACAAAGTGAGACTCTGCCTCAAAACAAAACAAAACAAAACAACAGTATGGTACTAGCATAAGGATAGACACAGACCAATGGGAAATAATTAAGGGTCCAGTTTTAAACCCAAAAATCTATGGTTGACTGATTTTCAACAAGGGCACTGAGACCACTCAATAGGAAAAAAAGAGTCTCTTCAACAAATGGTGCTGGGACACCCAGAAAATCACATGTACAAGAACCAAGTTGGGGCCGGGCGCGGTGGCTCACGCTTGTAATCCTAGCACTCTGGGAGGCCGAGGCGGGCGGATTGCTCAAGGTCAGGAGTTCAAAACCAGCAGCTGGTTTGAGATTCTTTTTTTCCTTTTTGTTTGACGCGTGATCCCGCCTTGTCTGCTACTATAAAAAAATAAGAAAGGAAACCTAATTGGCCAACTAATATAGTGATATAGTATATATTATAACATTAGCTGGGATCGGTGGGCTTCGTTGCCTGTAGTCCCAGCTACTCGGGAGGCTGAGCAGAGGATCGCCTTGAGCCCAGGAAGTTTGAGGTCTGGCTGTTGAGCTAGGACTGACGCCACGGCAGCTCACTCTAGCCGTACGGCGAAGAAAGCCTAGACTCTGTCTCAAAAAAAAAAAAGAACCAAGTTGGGCCCTTGCCCTCACTCCATACACGAACGTCAACTCAGAATGGACCAACTACATAACCATAAGAACCAAAACTATTAAACTAGTATAAGTAAACATATTTGGCAACAGAGTCACAGATATGACACCAAAAGTCTGAGCAATCAAAGAAAAAATAAACTGAACTTCATAAAAATTTAACACTTTCGTGCATCAAAAGACATTATCAAGAATGTGAAAAAACCCAGGGAAGAAGACAAAATATTTGCAAATCACACATCTGGTAAGGGTTCAATATCCAAAACATTCCTGCTTATGTCATATGGAAAAAAAAAAAAAAAAAAAAAAAAAAAAAAAAAAAAAAATATCCAAAACATACAAAGAACTTCTATAACCAACAACAAGGAGACAGACAACCCAATTCAAAAGGGGGCAATGGACGTATGAAGACCGTTCTCCAAAGAAGATATACAAATAGCCGGCAAGCATGTGAAAAGATGTGGAATATCTCTGGCCATTAAGGAAATGCAAATGAAAACCTCAATGTATGACCGCTTCACACCCACTAGGATGGCTGTAAATTTAAAAAACAGAAAATAAGCATTGCTGACGATGTGGAGAAATGGGAACCCTCACACTTTGCTGGTGGAAACATAAAATGCTGCAGTCCCTGTGGAAAACCGTTTGCAGGTCCTCAAAAAGTTTGACACAAAATCACTGTATAACCCAGCAAGTCCATCCCTAGGTACCTACACGGAGAGGAAAACTGGCATGCAAGCAAGTCCACGTACACGAACGTTCGCGGCAGCGCTACTCACAACAGCAAACAGGCAGAAACAGCCCACATGTCTACCGAGAGGTGAACTGATGCTCAAATTGTGGCACAGCAAAGCCTGGTCCTCTGTGGATTCACCTACTCGCTGAAGTTTATTTGTAAACCGCAAATCAATCCTCTCTGCTTTCAGTCATTTGCAGACACGCACACAACAGCAAAAAATCCGATTCGCCCAATGCACACATCCCCGGATGCCAAACAAGGCAATGCTATCTTGTTTCAGAAAAATTTCTTTACAACACACATATATTACACTTCTGTAATCAGACGAAGCCCTCCAATTTTTTTTTTTCCTTGAGAGAAAAGAGCAATTTATCTGTAAGAGAGCAACCCGCCAACAGGTCATATAAAACGTGGCTGCAGTTAAGTTCTAGTGTGTGAATACCACATGAGCAGACAACGCCACACTCAAGGTCAAGCACACTACACGCCTGTACGAGAAGGGGTGCTAGTTTGAGAAAGCACCTTTGCTGCTCTGGTCATAGACCCGGCCCACTCACTAGAGAAGCCAGACAACATCTCTTTCCTGGCTGGACCCTCAGCCCTCTAGGTCGCCTGAAGTCTCCGGGGCTCCCCCTCCACCCCACTTTCCTGCCCAGGAAACTGGAAAGAAGCCGACATCAGCTCAACCACCACAAACACTTGGGAAATGGTTAACATGCGCCGGGGCCGGGGCCAAGTGCTCTACCCAGCGTCTCTCTCTGCAGCTTCCCAGAAGCCCTGAGCAGCAGATACAGCAGATAAAATGGTCACAAACCCATTTTACGGATGGAGAAACTGACACCCTGAGGAGTAACCTGCCCACAGCGACACAGCCAGGGCCTGGGATTTGCACCTAGCATGCTCCTCATTGCTCTCTCCCTCCCAGTCTAGACACCACCACCTCCCCGCCCCAGCCCGACCTGTCACTGCCCTCGCGTCTCACCACCTTAAAGTTCTCCTCACTTTACCTACCACAGACAAACAAGCTGTGGCAAACAACCAAATGCAACCTTGCCCACGTCAGGGTAGAAAAATCATCGTAAATCCACTCACTGTGACCCTGTTCCAAATAGCACGCCGTATTCTCTGATCTGTACCAGCTGCTTTTACAATTAACCAACTTTCCTACAATTATTTGAGCTTTACAAAACATCTAAAGTAGGGACTCACATGTAAACAATATTTGCAGGACATAATACATAAAAAAAAACTGTCCCTGGCACTAGGTGTAAGTAAATGCTGGAATTCATTAAAAACTATCATTGTAGGCCGTGCCTGTTTCAGGGAGGTATTTTTTTTTTTTAAGCCAGCTTTTGCAAACCATGTCTCAGGTATTTAAGCAACAGGTGTGTGTTTGCGCATAGCTGGTCCCAATCCCGGCTCCGCCAATTACTATGTGGCCCTGACCAAGTGACTCGGTACCCAGGGGCTCCTCCATGCAAGGACTGTGGCAGTTACCTTCCTCCGCAGCTTGTCTGGAGACTAAGTAAGGACGTTATTAGCACACACACGCCCACAGCTGTGATGAGCACTGTCTGCCCAGGCCTTGCCCGTGGTGGCCGCACCTCCCGGGTTCGATGAGCACAGGGCTCTCTAAGCTCTGGGGCACAGCCACCATCAGGGAGAGAGGAGTCCAGTGAACCGGGCACAGAGCACAAGGAGGCAGCCAGCCTTTGTCCCGGCAGAGGCAACACTGTAATTCTCAGAACAGACTCACAGCGGAGCTCCGGCCCCAGCCACGCAGCCTCTGCAGGAATTGTTCAGAGAAATAAACACCGAGCAACGTGCCTTTTTTTCCCCAACAGAAAACCTGGCCTTCCTCCAACAGAGTTCAAATGGAAACACATGCTGAGATCTGAAAAACCTGCTACACCTAAAATGGGAGAATTTTGCCGTATGTAAATTACACCTCGCTAAACCAGACTTAAACAAAATATCTTGACCTGAAACCAGGTGTTGCCGTGAGTAGCTGGACATGCGGAGCCTGCGCACATGCTCCCACTAAAGGGGCGCCTGGAGAAGTGGAAACGTGCTTGGGGCAGCGCCTAGCGCCTTCCAAAGGAGCAAGGCAACAACAAACAGGCTCTCTGCTCTCTGGAGGACCACGGGGTCCCAACAGCGCAGGTAAAGCCCCAAGAAATCCCAAAGAGCAGGCAGGGATACAGAGAACACCCTTAGAAAGGGCACACTGCCCCTCACCGCCCAGCACAGGGCGGGTGCTGAGCCCAGCAGTGACAGGCCCGAGGCCAGAGGGCCACCCACTTCCTTTCCCTACCAGTGGCAGACAAACACGTAGAACGTCGGGGAACTCGGCACAGAAACGGCACTGCAGTCTGGACTTCAGGCTCAGGTGAGTGCTGCAGGACACAGCCCATGCTCAGAATGCGCTTCTGCGACACCTGGGGGCAGCTGGCCTGAGGCTGCCCCACTGCATGTGGACGAGAAGCAGGAGACAAACAGCACTGCCCAGGCCCCGCCAGACTCAGAAAGGGAGGCCCCGAAAATCCACGAGCAGGCTAGTCCCTGCTGCTGAGGCAGGCCCTGGCCGGAGCCTCTTGGCAGACCCCTAAGGGCACTGGGAAGAGGAGCGGCCACCACCAGTGCCTGTGTGGCTGTAGGCCGTGTCGGGGCCAGATAGGTGTCAGGGTACACAAAAGGCCTAAGACTGGCCTGCGGGGCCCAAAACTGCTTCTGAACTCCAAGGAACCTGATCCAAGTCACCCTGGGGGGAGTTCAGACCGGCCACAGGACTCTGGTACCTCAGCTGCTATGAGCACTCCGTTTCCACGCGCTCACCAAAGGGAGCTGGGAGAACCCGGCCGCTCACCTGCCCCGGGGCTCGGCCTGGGAGGTGTCCCGGCACACAGGCTTGGCTCTTGTCCCAATGCGGCCTCAGCTCCCAAAGGCCTCAGGATGACCCGGGTTTCTGCAAACAGGGCCCGGGAGACCAAGCACGGAAATCCGGTCCCACGTGCTGGAAAGGTCACTCGGCTCCCTGCGGGGCAGCACATCCAAGCTCCACTCCTGGAGGCCCTTACCGCCAGGAGGTTTGCGGAACAGTGCCATTCCTGCCACACGTCTCGCATGGCCGGTGTAAACCAGGCGCTCGGTAAGCAAGTGGGGTGCTCTGCAGGCCTCCCAGGGAGCCCTTCTTCCTCAGAGATGGCAGCACGGCCACCACGCCAGTCTTGCTGCATTTGTAGGAAAGCAGCCAGCCGTGGCCAAGCTGCCCGGAGCCAGGAAATGCCACTGCCCGGCCCTTGGTGACGGGAAGAGGAACAGGGGCAGGCCTTTTAGTTATTTTAATTACTGGTCACAAAAAAGTTTAAAAAATGCAGATAGAAGAAAATAAAAATCCCCTGCGATCCTACCACTCAGATTACCCTTGTTGACATTTTTGATGTATGTAATTCCTTTTTCTTATAAATATCATTCATATAACTTGCTTCCTTCATTCAACAATATTAAGAACTTGGCCGGGCGCAGTGGCTCACGCCTGTAATCCCAGCACTCTGGGAGGCCAAAGTGGGAGGGTCACTTGAGGCTAGGAGTTCAAGACCAGCCTGGGCAACATAGCAAAGCTTAATCTCTACAAAAAATAGAAAAATTAGCCAGGCATGGTGGTGCATGTGCCTGTAGTCTCAGCTACTCAGGAGGCTGAGGCAGGAGGATCACTTGAGCCTAGGAGTTGGAGGCTGCAGTGAGCTGTGATGACACCACTGCACTCCAACCCAGGTGACAGAGCAGACAGTCTCAAAACAAAAAGAACTCTCTCCTCACACCTGTAATCCTAGCACTCTGGGAGGCTGAGGTGGGCGGATTGCTCGAGGTCAAGAGTTCGAAACCAGCCTTAGCAAGAGCGAGACCGTCTCTACTATAAATAGAAAGAAATTAATTGGCCAATTAATGTATATATAGAAAAAAATTAGCCGGGCACGGTGGTGCATGCCTGTAATCCCAGCTACTCGGGAGGCTGAGGCAGCAGGATCGCTTGAGCCCAGGAGTTGGAGGTTGCTGTGAGCTAGGCTGACGCCACGGCACTCACTTTAGCCTGGGCAACAGAGTGAGACTCTGTCTCAAAAAAAAAAAAGGAACTCTCTCTCCCCACAGGTCATTAAAGATTCTGGTCAGAAGATGCCCTGTAAGTTTATCTAACCAGGTAAACTTACCTAACCAGGTAAACATCTGCTCATTGTTGGACATTTAAGTTATTTCCAGATCTCTTGTCACTTCGTATGGCCCAGTGACTAACCTCTAGGACCTTGGAGGAACCTATGTCACTGCAGACGTGTTCTCTAGGTGACTGGACTGGCTATGGCCAGCTGCTCCCCTGGAGAAGCGGCACCCTGGAGCACGGCCACCTGCTCTCAAGAGCAATTGGATGGAAACTGACATACGCCCCATGGCGCTCACTGGTGCGTCTGTGCGCAATGGGGACCAGAGCAGTCCCTCACGCCGGGACGGCCACTTCTACCACCTCCTTTGCAAGCTGCCCTTGGCCTGGGGCCTCCACTGGAGCGTGCATCCTGCCCGCTACTGCTCGAGGAGCCTACCTTGTTCTTGAAGTGCACCTCGATGGGCATGATGAAGCCAGCGTAGCCCGACTCCTCCACTTTGTAGGGGGGCTCCTTGCACACTAAAAAGAAAAAAACGCACCCATCAGCTTCCTGCCCCGTTCAAGGCCCAGCCCCAGCAGCAGTGGCACACGCCCCCCGATCCCCACCCTTGCCACCTCCTCGCTAGGACTCTCAGGCTATTCTGGAGGCTGAGCTCCCCTAGGAGAGTCACTGAAGGGCCCTGGAGGGGCAGAGGAGGGGAAAGGTAACCTGGCCACCAGAGCGGTCAGCAGAGGGAGGGCAGGAGGGGGCACTAGTCACCCTCTGCATGCAGGGCGCCTCTCCTGCAGTGGGTGAGAAGCTGAGGCCAGAGAAGGCCGCGCAGGGGGTCAGTGGGCATGACCTGAGTGAGGTGTGAGACCCAGTGAGGCTCCGTCTCCCAGGCAGGGCCGCACACCCCACTGCCACAGCCTCCGACATGGCAGCTGAGCCCCGCTCTGTGCCAGGGACACGCACGCTGGGAGATGGAGGAGGATCTTCCACCTGGGTTCTATTTTAGCACATAATGAGAACACTCCCAAGGGATGCAAACAGAACCTCGTTAACCCCAGAGATTTAAAAAAAAAAAAAAAATTGAAACGAAGAACAGCAAAGTGCACACAAAATAATCTCCTGTAATTTCATCCTCCAGAATAAACCATCGATGTTTTGACACGCACGCTCTCGCTATGCAGCGCCGTGGAAATACTGTTCTGCTCTTAAGAAAACAATTAGAGCAGCAGAGATCAAATCCCTTGACACCCCCCATCCCTCCCTGTGCAGGAGCAACTGCAACTGGAAGGTGGGAAGAAACCCTGCCCATGGTCCGTAGGTGTCTTTACCCACTTTACTGAGGTGTGACCGACAGGTCGGAAGCTGCACATATTTAATATCTGCGTCTCCGTGAGTTTGCGGCTACACAGACACCCATGAAGCCATCACTACCACCAAGGCCGAGAACATGTCCATCACCTCCTGAAGTCTCCTTTTACCCTTTACTGCTGTTTTTGTTTTCTAAGAACATTTAGCATAAGAGCCAAGCTCACAGCAACTCTGAGCATGCTGTAGTGCAGTAGTGCTGGCTGCAGGCACTCACCGCACGGCACATCCAGAACTCATCTCGAGGAACCCAAGGCCACACTCTTTGACTATCATCTCCCCACTGTCCCCTCCCCCCACCCCAGCCACCCCCACACCCTGCTCTCTGCTTCTCTGCATCCGACTGGTTTAAATTCTCCACCTGAGACCGTGTAGTGTCTGTCTTCCGTGTCTGGCTTACTTCACCTAATGTGTTGCCAATTGTTTAAACCCTTTATACACATACGTCTGCTCTAGTAAGGTAATTCTTAAGTGGGCCAGAAATTGCTGGAAAACAGTTAATGGAACATAATGAAACATGTTGTTTTTTTTTAATTCAAACCGTAAGATTTTTCTTTTAAATAAAAAAAAGACTCAAGTATCTAACCTTGTGTATATCGTGTATCTATCCAAACAAAACTGGCAAGCAGCTAGGTCTGGAGTGAGAGGGACCCTCGAAGAGAGGGCTGGCCAGACAGTTTTGCATGGGGCCCCAGTCTGCAAACTCCAGGGAAGCAGGGAAGGGGTTCCCACTACCCACACCTACCTCTACCCACCCGGCCCCAGAGACTGGAGCTGCAGGGGCTGACGCCAGGCTGTAAGCTGGCCCGGGGCCCCAGGTCCTGCGCCCAGGGCTCCCTCCGCTCCACCTCCCCTCCCCAACCCTACCTTCCCTGAAAGCCCAGCTCAAGACCTGCTCTCCCCACTGGCTGCCCCCCCGACCAGCTGCCTGCCCCACCTCGAGATAAGTTTCTGGAGGGCAAGGCCTTGCACACAGCTGGTGTGTCTGAGATCCCTGCTGGGGGAGGGGGCATTCCGCAAACAGCCACAGGACCGCATGGCACAGCCTCCCAGAGGCCAGCAGTAGCCCTGGCTGCCCCTGCTGGGCACTCCAAACGCCATCGTCACCTGGACGTCGAGGTCTGAACCTGAATCATTGCTGCTACCAAACAGCAGCAGGTTCCACACCCGTCCATTCATCCATTCACTCCTTCACCACTATCTGTGCCTGACAGACTCGGGGACTGGGATGACAATAGAGGCCCAGAGGACACCTCTGGCCCCTTGGTGCTGACTCCTGGGGGAGTCGTCGCCCTCTGACTGCTGGTCAGCCCCCCTGGAGGGAAGGAGCAGCCTGCCTGCAAAGCAACTCTGGGTCCATGGAGAGAACCCACAGCCTGCAGGAAGCTGTCCCAGGTGGCCTCAGCCCAGATCTCTATTCTAAAGCCACCTCCCTCCTGCTCCTCCAATGTCCTGGTCCTACCTGGGATGCTGCACAGAGACCTCCGATGAGGCCCACCCCAAACCAACTCCACTTGCCCCTTTAACCTGCACCACCCGGCGTCCTCCAGCTCAGGATTCATCAGTCACCCAAGGACGAGGCCATCTGACTTCCTCTCCTGCGGCTCACCTGCAGCCAAGGGCCAAGTCCACCTCCAAACCCCTCTGGAACGCAGCCCGCTGTCCTGGAGCCACACCCCTCACGTCCTGCCTCAGGCACCACCCCCTGAGCATCTGCCGTAGGGGTAACTAGAACTCGGCCCCCACTGCCCTCGGCAACCCGCCAGGAGCTTCACCGCCTTCTGCCCCAGCCCTGGGCAGCCTAGCCTCAGATCTAGCCAGCCAGCCATGGTGAGCCAATCAGATCACAGATCAATTCCTCTGGGACCCCTTCTTTGAGCCCCACCCAACTGGGTCACAGTTCCCTCCCACAGGATCCCCAGCACCCTGCATCACTCCGAAGCAGGACTTCTTTTTTTTTTTTAAGAGATGGAATCTTGCTCTGTTGCCCAGGCTGGAGAGCAGTGGTGTGGTCATAGCTCACTGCAGCCTCCAACTCCTGGGCTCAAGTGAACCTCCTGCCTCAGCCTCCCAAACCCAAAGTACCAGGATTACAGGTGCCACCGTGCCCGGCCTGCTACAGGACTTCTCCCATCATTCCTGATCCACACCTCCAGGCTGTAAACTGTGTCTCACTCAGGTTCCCAGGGCCTAGAGCTGGGATGTGACACTTCCCCGTAAACACTGCCCAGCAGGCCAGCTGCCATGCCTCCCTCAGGTGGTACAGGGACAAAAAGTTCTCAAATACTCCTCAACAGAGAGGCCACGTCACGGCTGTAGCCTCCATGGGGTCCCTAGATCCTGTCTGAGCAGGCGGGGAGGGCCATGGTGCCCTGCAGCTGCAGAGAGCTGCCTGCTTGGTGCTTCGCCCGAGCCCACGGGCGGGGAGCGTTCTGCAGCCTGCCCTCTACCCCTGAAGTCTCGCACAGGGTCAGGCACCCGACGGGAACCCCAACACTCAACCTGAACCCAGGAAGGAAAGCGGAGGCAGGACAGAGAGGGAGGGTGGGCTGCTCCTACCTGTGACCCCCCCAGCAGGGGAGGCTTAGGCAAGGGACAGGCCTGGGGTTTGCTCGCAGACCCCGCCCTTTGCCCTGTCTCCTGCCCGCACCCCAACTGCCATCTGACCCCCATCCAACCACAAAGGCCCATGTCAGGACTATGTTATCTTTCCAAATCTACTCTCTGTCCCCGCCCCTTCATGATTTCTCTCTCCAAAGGCCCCTCATGTGATGGGCACTTCCAGGCTGGAAAAGCATCTGTCCCTCCAGAGATAAGTGAAGGGTACGGACTTCCAGCGCAAGGCTGAGACCAGGCAGATGCACTGGCCTGCCCTCCTGCCCGGGCGCCCCCGGGAACCAACAGAGCACGCGACAAAGTCCTGAGGGTGAAGAGGGGAGGGAAGAGATGCCAGCAGTCAGCACGGCTGTGGACGGCAGAAAGTGGACAAGGGCAGGCTGGGCAAGGGGACAGGAGCCTGTGGCCCAGAGTCTGCCATGGGGTGCCGCAGGGCGGGGACGGCCTGGGCCTGGTCAGGCTGGAGGGACAGCGGGATTGAGGGTGGGAGCTGGGGGGGGGCAGCGGGTGACCGCTGGGGGCCGGGCTCCCTCTGGGGTGAAGGAGGCGCTCTGCAATAGAGCAGATGGAATTGGCAGCGATGGCTGCACAACCGTGTGCGCACACTGAAAACTCCAATTGTACACATTTAAAAGGTGAATTTTATGGTGTGTGAATTATGTCTCAGTAAAGCAATTATTTAAAAAAACAAAAAGAAAACCAAACACAGGCAAACTGCAAGGCTGCATTTGGAATAACAGGCGCGGGGATTCCTCCCTCGCGTCCTTCCCCACCCATAGCCAGGCAGTGTCTAGTCTCCCCCACCCCGGGGAAACCCGGGCGGCTGTCGGGGAGCAAAGCCCTCCTCATTTAGGAAACTACGAGGCCCACGGACCCTCAATCCTGTTGGGTAACGAGCCCACCCTCCCGTGAAAGAGCGCTCAGAAGGAATCCCCACCTGGGAGAAAGAGGCCAAAGACATGGAAATAAGTTGCAGACCGCAAGGGAACTTGAGAAAAAAAAAAGAAAGAACCTAGGAGTCAATGTCCTAGGATTCGAGGAGACATACCCAACAAATAATACTAAAAAAGGGCTCTTAGATACTACAGATTTTTTACTTACAATTTCTTAATTCAACAGCAAGACTAGAAAATAAAGGAAATCTCCCCAATAGTAGAGCAAAAAGATACTTAAAAAAAAAAGTGAGACAAGAAGAAACAATTTGGCAGATTAGACAAACAGACAGCGGCTACCATGTCTAAGCACCCACTGAGCGTCAAGCCTGGGTCTCTCCCCTTGGCTCACCGAATCTTTACATCAACCGTGCACAGCAGAGACAATCCCTCTCGTCTTACAGATGAAAAGACGCAGGCATAGAGAAGTTCAGTAACAAGCATCCCAGAAAGAGAAAACAGAGGAAATAAATGGATGGGAGGAAACCGTCAAAGAAATAGAAGGTCACTTTCCAGAG